ATGTGAAATTCGCAGAAGAATTAGTAGGTGTGTCACAAGGTCGTCATTGGCTCAAGGGCGAATATGAACTACTTCGCAGGTGGATTGCAGGATAATGTAGAAAGGATATGCCCCTGATAATTTGATCAACCACACCTTGATAACCCATAAATCTCTATTATCGTTCCAGATGGAAGAACCAGCGCAACTGTGACTTAACTATGCTCTCATCGTCATCATTAATCCAAGGTAGTATGCCTTTCCATTTTTAACACCAAATCTCTCTAATTTTGTCTGTTCTTCATTCTTTTTTCAGTTTTTTTTTTTTTTGTGGTGGTTCCAATTTTTCAAGTCATCAAAACTATATTTACACTTGAATTATATAGGAGACAATTACCTAACTCAAGAGAAAATTTTTTAAGTGATTTAAGAAGTTTTATATGAAGCTGTGATTATGTAGGTGGGAAGAGATAGATATTGAATATTAAAAAACCTTCCCCATCAAAACTATCGGCTTTAGCCTCTCTCTTTTTTTTTTCTTTCTTTCTTTTCAAACGTGTGTATTTTAAGGATTACWTGCTTCCATCCTGTTAAGATCCTTTTTAGAAAGATTTAAATATTGATTCCTTAGCATTCATCTTTAATATTTTTTTTAAAATATCATTTTCTTTGTCAAAAATTTAGTGGTGGTCATCTAAAAATTGGTACTGATACGTTTCTAAAGAAGCTATACTAAATAAGAAAATCTATTTATAAATTAGATCAAACGAAAATAATATACATTACATGTATTTCAAAAATCAATTTGCAAACTATACAAAATCTAAGTCTTACCTTTTATGTGTTAGTGGGTGGAGATAGAAAAAGGGAGAGAAAATTAAAGAAATTTAGAGGGATGGTAATAAAAAGAGTTTGTATTTAACTGACAAAATTACTCCAAATAAATAGTAATAAGATGATAAATTTCACGTGCATCGCACGTGTTACTAACTAGTATATATAAAAGATATGTTCAATATTTGCCTAGAAAACAGATAAAGGAAGAAAACATAATAAACACGATAATAAATGAGGAATCTCAATCTCCATATGGTATCACAACGTTACTCGATATTTTTCCCCTAAGAAACAGCGTTACCAAATTTCGGACTAACTTTCATACAAATACACGCATCTGGCGCATCTTGATAGCGATATAGATTAATTGCATGCTAGCCTAGCAGCATGATCGCTCCGCTGGTTTTACTTTAATTTATCTGAGAAACGACAATCGCATAATCAATCATCATCCAATCGCACTTAATCACTCCTCTCTCTCTCTCCTCAATTCAACCAACCAAGCTTGGAAGAGAGAAAATGGAGAAGACCTCAGAGACCAACGCCACAAACGGGGAGCTCAAGGATGTAAAAGACGCCATTAACAATGGATCGGTCTGTGGATATGACTCGCTCCATCAACTCCTCGCCCAAAATCTCAAACCCGAGTTATTCCAGGTCGGTTCTCTCTTGATTTTCTCTGTGTGGCTAGAGTTTACTAAATCGTAAGCGATTACGGAAAAAAATTTGTTTATCATCTGTTTGTGGATGTCGATTGTTTTTGCATATTCGTTTCTGGACTTTTGGGCGGTGGAATTTGCGTATCGGGAATCTAAGTTTGATTCATAGGTCTAATCAGCCTCTTAAACATTTCGGTTTTGAAATTGAACTGTTATTACTCTAGTATCGGCTAAAATTTTGAATATCACCATGTCAGTTATACCAAATGGATATTGCTGTAACTTTCTGCTGAGGAGCCTTTATTTCGTTGAGAAGAACTAATTGCAGTCATAGATATTCTGCAGTGCCTGACTATTTTGCATTGCATCTACTGATCTAGCTATCTAGTGTAGGTAGATGTGAATCCTGTACCAACTTTGTACATGGACTATTGAATTCAATGTCAACGGATTCTGTATAGTACAGACTAACATTTTTATTTATGTTTTTGTTTCTAAAAATCCTGCTTATTTACTAACAGTTTCCATCACTAAAGTAGGTTTTTAGTTTTAAAAAGTCTGTTTTGTTTTTAGAAGTTGACTAAGAAACTGAAAAATTAAATAAATAAAACATGGGTAAAAATAGTTTTCACAAGCTTATTTTTTTCAATAATTGAAAAGCAATGGCAAAATCTGTTTGAAACAGGCCCATGAAGGTTTTTTAGTCAGCAATGTGATAGAAAACTGAGATTATCAGATTCGCGTTGCCAAGTAACTAAAAAACAAATAAAAATCATGCTGTGTATTTACTGATTTTTCTTGTGAAAAATGTGTTCGGTCCTTACAATTATTTTACTATATTGTAGCCTAACAAGTACAAAACCTCTACTATTCATTTGGCTTTCACTTATCAAGAAGTTGCAAATTTAACATTTCTAGCATCTGCTGCAAAATTGGAGAAAATCGGTTAAATTTTATTTCCTCCTCATGCCAACTTATTCTGAAGTAACATAAGTTTTTTATTTTTTTATACTTCCATTATTTTGTCCTTTTGAAATATTCTGCTAATTTTCACATTTCATTGCCAATCCCAGGAAGTTAGCCGGATGCTATTAGGGCTTAACTGCGGAAAGCTGCTTCAAAGTATTTCTATTGCTGAGCCTGTGAAGAGTCTTTCACTAAAACATGATTTCGACCTCCAGGTAATCACTTGAAGGAGTCCCTTTTTAAGTTTCTTTGATAACTTATTATTTGCATTGCAGAAACCATATTATATTTGTAACTGCTTTAAGAAGAATTTGAGTTTATGATTGGGTTGCAGAGATTTAATTTACCAGAAGCAGTTAGCAATGGTTATCTTTTATTTTGAAGGTTTAGTTGTCACGTTGTCATGTTGGTAATCCACCATTTCCATGTTGAAGTACACTGAAAGCAATGAATTAAAGGTTTGTCTTTTAATGGAGCACACCGAAGAAGTAATGGAGATCAATAAAGGAAAATTAAGAGATTCTGCGCTGATAATTGTCTTTTCCTAGAGAATCGGGGGTCAGCATGAGGCTGTGTAGTCTTTTATAACTTACATCGATTTGTCTCTTGCTCTTTCTTTCGTGCATGCACAAAAATAGGAAATATTAAAATGATTCAAATCTATGATAGTTAATCAGACCTTTTTGTGGTCATTATAACACATTAATTATCCAACAAAGGGGAGACGGTGCCTGTTATATGATAGAATAAGATTTTTGTGGCATTTGAGAGCCCCTCTCTTCAAATCTTATAAGAAGAGGCTTCTACCTGCAAAAACATTATTGCGACCTACAAACTCTATGCTGATTTATGTCATAGCACTTATTTTATTCACTGTGTGACATCTTTGTGATCAACAGCACTAGTGGTTTTTGGACTTTTTTTTTTTTTTTTTTTTTATTTCTATGCCATTTTATTGATGCTTATATATACTATTCTTGTAAATCATTTCAGGCATACAGCTTTCATGCGGACAAGGAATCATTCAGAGAATCTAGAATAGTAAGGGTGGGTCTCATTCAAAATTCTATTGCTCTTCCAACAACTGCCCCTTTTTCAGATCAAAAGAGGGCTATTTTTGAGAAAGTAAAGCCAATTGTTGATGCAGCAGGCGCTTCAGGAGTCAACATATTGTGCTTGCAAGTAGGTTACCATGGCCAACTTTCTTTTCTGGATTTCTAATTATATTTTCTGACATTTGGGATTTTTCCTTGTGTGGGTGGGATGCGTTCACTGTCCGGAAATCTGAATTTCAATGTGATATCCATACATTTACGTATATGTAGGAAGCATGGATGATGCCATTTGCCTTTTGTACACGTGAGAAGAAGTGGTGTGAATTTGCAGAGCCACTCGATGGGGAATCGACACGGTTCCTTCAGGATCTTGCATTAAGATACAACATGGTCATTATAAGTTCTATTCTTGAGAGAGATGTTAGTCATGGAGATACCTTATGGAATACTGCTGTTGTAATTGGAAATCATGGAAATATAATTGGCAAGCATCGCAAGGTAACTCGCCGTTCGTGGAGTTAGCTTTCCTATCACACTCTCTTGGCTGTCAAAACTATTTTGGTTATTGTCATTTTGCAGAACCATATACCAAGAGTTGGCGATTTCAACGAGAGCACATATTACATGGAAGGAAATACTGGGCATCCTGTGTTTGAGACAACCTACGGGAAAATTGCGGTAAACATATGTTATGGGAGGCACCACCCTTTGAACTGGTTAGCTTTCGGCTTAAACGGTGCTGAGATTGTTTTCAACCCTTCTGCAACTGTTGGTGAACTCAGTGAACCAATGTGGCCTATTGAGGTTAGTCTTTTAACTTGTTTCATCCGTTTCTTGTTTTTTCCAAGTAATCATTTCACTTATACCACAAGAGTCGAACAAAACAAGGCAAATGAATGCAGATAATTGTTCTTTTTCCTTTAATTTATACCTACAAATCCCATTTTTTCATTTGTTGCCTCCGGCTTAGATTCTTTGACTTTTGCTGATTACATCCGTCGGCTTAGTTCTCTGTGATTGTTGTTTGAGCAGCCTGTTACTATACTAGTTCTACCATCCTCTTTGGAAAACCTAAAAAAACTTTTATCTCCAATCTATAACTTTGATTGACATGTTCTGAATTTGCAGGCTCGCAATGCAGCAATAGCGAATAGTTACTTTGTTGGATCGATCAATCGTGTTGGCACCGAGACATTCCCAAATCCATTCACTTCAGGCGATGGGAAACCGCAGCATGCAGATTTTGGTCACTTTTACGGGTCCAGCCATTTCTCCGCACCAGATGCATCTTGCACTCCCTCGCTCTCACGTTTTCGAGATGGTTTGTTAATCTCCGACATGGATCTTAACTTGTGTAGGCAGCTGAAAGATAAATGGGGATTCCGAATGACTGCTCGGTACGAGATGTATGCCGAAACACTTGCTCGGTATCTGAAGCCTGACTTCAAGCCTCAAGTCATTTCTGATCCTTTGTTACACAAGAAGGCAACTTGAAGTTTACTCACTCAGTTGGAAAATCTGGAAAAGATACCAATGTGTAAGTTAAAAACATATTGAATGTTTCTAATCCAATGTGAAAAAGTAAGTTCAGTTTCCCTTCTTTTCTAGGATTTGCTCAAAATTTACCTGTTTATAGACAAATCAAATAAAAGAAGGAATTCTCCTGATGAGTGGAAAGTGGCAATGGTGCTAAACTTAAAAATAATAATAATAATAATAATAATAAATATATATATATATATATATATATATATTTGGTTAAAAAACACATTTAGTCCCTCTACTTTCACTTCGGTAAAGTAACGATTTAATCCCTGAACCTTAGTTTGTAATGATTTAGTTCTTGTACTTTCAGATGGATAACAATTTAGTCATTAAACTTTAATATGTAACAATTTAGTCCTTATAATTTAAAGTTGATAACGATTTAGTCCTTATCGTAAATTCTTTTTTTGTTAAGTTTCTTGTATGTATAGATTGACAAACTAAAGAAGGGATCAAATATGTTTATGAATTAGAAATATTAAATTATTATATGATAAAATTTGACACTTAATTTTAATAAAAAAAATTAGGATAGGGATTAAATTGTTACAAATGAGGCTAAATCGTTAAAAAATTAAATAAAAATACACCTAATTTCTTTTTCTTTCTTTTCTAATAAATAATAAAAATGTTTTTGATGGGATAGTTTAATTGAAAACAAACATACTCATAAAATAGAAATACTGGTTGCTTTCATATATTTTTTTTATTAGCGTATCATGAGTCATTTAATCCCAACTAAAACACATTTACCAAAATATTATTTGAACTTAATTAATATGAACTTTATTATCTAATAACAAATTCCTAAAATCGTGCAAGTACATAATTAAAATCAACAATATTTCTATTAAATTATTGGTTTTAAATTATACTTTTTTATATTAATAAAGTTAAATCTCTATAATTTTCAAGCACTTTCTAATGCTGTAGGGAGTCGAACATAATTATTTTGAATATAAGTTATATATGAGTGATATGTGTATGGATATTTTCATTGCGGTAACATAAATTGTGAATAACTTGTCAATTTGAACTTAATTTAATAATAAGACACGTATTTCTATTTTCAAAAGGTTGATGATTCGACTAAAAGACATGCGAGATTGTGAATGGCAAAAGTACATGGATAAATTGTGAAAAACAGTGTCAATTTGAACGTAATTTAGCAATATGACACATATTACTATTTCAAAAGGTCGATGATTCGATTATCCACTTTTAAAATAGATAAATTCATAATCAGCAAAATTATAAAAGTGATCGATCCAACGAAGACCGAATGACATACCAACAAATGAACAAGTTTGATCAAATACTAGCGAATGACAAAATTACATGAATAAATTGTGAACATTGTACCAATTGAACGTAATTTAGCAATAAGACACCTATTACCATTTCAAAATGTTAATTATTCGATTCTCCACTTTTGAAATAGATAAATTTATAACTAGCAAAATTATAAAAGTGAACAATACAACGAAGGCCAAAGGACATACTAACATATGAACAAATTTAAGTTGGATCAAATACCAGTGAGATTACGAAGGACAAAATTACATATACGTCAGTGATAGGAAAGATATCAAAAGAAAAGATGTCTTTATAGAGAAAAACAGAAAAATAGAAGAAAAATAAAGATTAAAAGGTACCCATTCACTTTTGTTACGTTCCTCTCAGAAAGCAAACATTCAAATTATTAACATCTTTAGAGGAGCACATTATATTTGTTATTATTCTTTAGACTTTGAATAAAAAAGAAACTCTCCCAAGACATATTGATAGAACAGGGCAATTGCAAGCTAAATATGGTTTGATGAGAAGAGTCAACCATTTTTAGAGAATTGAAAAAATTCTCCCATGTTTGTCTTGATCTTGAATTCTATGTTCTTCTACATAAAAAGGTTATACGAAAGAACACAGATACGAAATTAGCTCAAAACATCCTTATCCGCTCTCTTTCTCTCTCATACACACAGAAAACTCACAAAATTACAAAAATGGGTGTCACCATTTTCGATTTCTCCACTTACCCATCTCTCAGTTTCTAGCCTCTCACTTCCCTCTCATCTCAATTCACTCCCTCTCTCTGTGTAGAACCATATACACGCACCACAACTGCGCTCTCATCCATCCATGGCTTCCATTTCTCCACCCACTCCTCACCAGCTCTCCTTCTCCACCCCCAAATTCCCTTCATCACCTCCATTTCTGAAGCGATATTCCTCTACTGCACCTTCTCCGTCTTCCCAATTGCATACCATCTGCCACTGCCACAACCCAGATTCGCCATCCCCGTCTGAGCCGTGGGGATGGGGCTCTGCGCTTCAGGACCTCTTTCGAACCGCCCTCAAGCGCTTTGATTCTCTCGTCAACCACGGTGGCGACGGCTTTAAGGACCCGCGTGCCGACGGCGGCGTTCTGCAGGGAGAGCGTGTAGTTGGAGCGGACGAGAAGGATGGAGACGATGATCGGGGATGGGATTGGGATCGGTGGCGCAAGCATTTTGATGAGGTCGATGAGCAGGAGCGTCTTGTTTCTTTTCTCAAGGTAGTTCGCCGTAATTTGTTTGAGTTCTCATGTATTGGGGTTGGTTATTTTCTCGGATCATTCGAATTTTAGGGTCTGAAATGATTAGAATTAAGAAAAGAAGAAAGAGTTTAGTGCAATTTAATAGGAAGAAAAGGGTGGAGGAGGGACTGAATGGAATTACGAGGGAGAAAGCTGAAAAAGAAAAAGGCAAGAACAATGAAAGATTCCCTTTGAAGGGTTATCGAAGAAAAGCTGATTTTGCTTTGTTTTTCGGTTTTTTCTCCGCAGTCGCGCTTAAGTCATGCGGTATATGCAGAGGATTATCAAGATGCTGCTAGGCTCAAGGTGGCGATTGCGGCATTATCTACAAGCGATACTGTTGGCAGAGCGATGTCTCGTCTGCATGTGAGAAAATTTCATACACTGCTCTGGATCATAATTCGAAATATTTTGAATATTGATTCATCTTTACTTCATGTTGTCATTACTTTACTGTACCCAAAAAGGATTCATCCGCTTCACTTTGATCCGTTTTGAGACTTGGACCACCCCGGAAATTTTCCATTTGTTGCTTCAGTGATATAGTTGTTTTGTTTCTTACACTTTTCGTCTTCCTTCTATCACAGAGAGCTGTAGAGGAGGAGCGTTACCGGGATGCAGCCTTTATCCGGGACAATGCTGGTGCTGGGTTGGTGAGATATTCAAAGAGCTTCTAAATGATGTGCTTGTATTTTTTGTCCCCTTTTTGCTGTCATCTGTTCATCCCTTCACCCAATCGGTTGGTCCTTGCAATTTGCATATGCCATAAAGACTAGGTCAAGCATGGTTGTACTTTTTTTGTTTGTTCGTCTCTCCCAAGCTCTAAACTGGTCACTGTTTCTTTAGTTTATTGTCTTTACTTTAGTGTAACTAACGAATCCATTTGTCATAGTCAACCAATTGCTAACCTATTGAGAGTTTTGTAATTAAGATATAATGGACTGAGAATTTTGATTTTACCAGCGATCTTTTTTCTGATTTGGTAATTGCATGGTGCTGGTATTTAATGGGTTGCGTGGTTACATGTAGATGCTCTTCTGGAGCACGTATGATTTTTTTCCGTTTGGTTTCGTCCTCTCAGGTTGGCTGGTGGTCTGGCACTTCAAAAGACAATCATAATCCTCGTGGTTTAATTATTCGAATAACTGCTGAACATGGAAGATATGTAGCAAGAAGTTATAGTCCTCGGTAAGATCTTTGTCCTGATTGTATTGCAGCACAAGTATTTGTCATTTGCTTTTATGTTTCAAACTTTTGGTCATAGTGTGTGTAAATTCTTTCATTCTACTGGCCTTTGATTGATGGAACCCTTTATTCCTATTATTGGACATTGACTCTTTGTTCCTGAATGCTATTTTGCAGTAAGAACAAATAATTCTTCATGCTAAGTCTCTATGACCCTTGTTTTTAAAGATATTTTATTTTTCAACTTCTGCATCAAAGAAAATATTGATTTTTATTTCTCAAATTCCTCAGGCAGCTTGCTACGGCTGTAGATGGTGTTCCCTTGTTTGAGATTTTTCTTAGAGTGAATAAAAAGGGTGAATACAAACAGCAGGTACCTACCTTAGAGAATCTAATTTTACATTCTGTTCTGTGTGAATTGTCTTTTTGTAACATTACTAACATAACCTGTTCATCTAAAATTGTGACTAACATGACATGCTGGGCAAACTGTAAGCGCCATAGAAAGGGGGTTAGTGTGTTGGTCCAATGATTTAAGGATAAGTAGTAAAAATAGGCACCTACGAGATAAGTGATTCAAACTTCGGTGGCATCCTATTCTGGATTTTAAATATATTACAATTTTCTTCTCTAGAAAATGTAGCATCAGATGATTGTATCAAAAGATTGGTTGAGATCTATGTAAGCTTAGTGAGACCCACCACAATTACAAGAAAAAAGATGTTGAATAGCCATAGATATTATTTTGCACATGTAATTCTCTTAAAAAAAATCTGCCTTGCCGTCAAGGAAAAAAAAAAAAATTATCCCTAACATTTACCTTCCCATGTTCTCTCAGGCTGTCATGCATATATTGGAGGGAAAGGGAGAAAAAGGAAAGGAGACTAGAGGATAAGAGAATAACATGTTTGTTCATTAGCGAAACACCTTAAACAACGTTGCACTTTATAGAAGAAATACTAAGAGCAGCAGTACTCATGGTCTCAATATTGCTTATTTAGGGTTGGAAAGTGATTATTTTGATTATGATACTTCTCTAAGATGATAATCTGATAGACTGATCCAACAGATCCAAATAAACAGATCTAATAACACATATTTGTTTTTTGAGATATTTTGAAGATAGAATTGAAGCTTTGCTTTTGGTGTTTACTCCTTGATAGACTTTGGGGAATTGGCCTTTTCTTGATCTGTATTTAGCATTCCAGCTGGTTGTGGCTTAGTTCACGTGTCTCTAGCTTCTATTTGGTTCTTTTTGGAGTTTGGTCTTTGCTTCTGGTTTTATTGAAGTTTTTATCCCTCAAGTGGTCGTGGTTCTGAAGTTCTTTTGGTTTTCCAAGCTTTGTAGCAGGCAGTTTTTGAGTTCTGGTTTAGAATGCTTTCTATTTTTTCTGAGCTTGTATTGCTCTTGTTGTGCTAATTCTTTATTATCTTTCTCTTTTTCTCTCTCTTATTTTTTCACCCCTTTAGGGGATTGTGTCTTGAACATTTTTCCTTTTCGTATATCAATGAAAAGTTCTTTCTTGTTAAAAAAAAACACATATTTGTTTATGTATGGATGTAAATCATAACATAGAAATGTTGGATATGGCTTCTTTCTGATACCATGGTGTGATTGTTTTTTGATAACCGACTTACTTATAAAAAGCTTACATATTTCTTAATTGCTTCTTTTCAAATGATAGATAATCGTCCATGCCCATGTTTAATTCTTATACAATCCCATGGATAGGTTAGTTTTGAGTCGAGTCATTTAGAATTTTGTTTCTAAATGTTATAAGGCTATAATTGGATACTCAAGGTTTTTTTTTTGGTGGTTTTTAGGCTGTATACTTGAAACGGAAAGGAGTTATCTCAGATAGTTCAAATGGTTCATCTAAAGAATTAGATTCACCTAGTCTATTGAATCCTTTAGACCCTGTCGAAGAAAAGGATGATCTTTTCATTATAGGCAGTGAAGAAGCTGAAGATGGCGAGATCAGGAATGAAGATTCTGATATAGCTGTTGGACTTCCAGTCTTTCAGAATATCTTGAGAGATATGATTCCTGGAGTGAAGGTCAAGGTTTTGAAGCTGACAACCCCTGGGAAGGTTGACAAAGACGTGATATCTAAGGTGATTGAGCAAATTATTGAGGAGGAAGAAGATGAAGAAGAGGAAGACGAGGAGGATGGAGAAGGTGAGAAAGACAGTGACTTTGAAGATTTGGAAGTGGAAGATAAAATTAAGGATGACCATCCAGAGAAAGATGCTGAATTGGGTGCTGATGATGGTTTCCTTGAAAATCAAGGGCGAAATGAAGTTGCTGTCAAAATCATTGTTGGTGGTTTAGTGCAGAAGCTTTCTGGTGGGTTTTCTGCTAAAAATGTACTGAGAGTACCTGCAAAGTTAGAAAAGAAGGGGCGTTCTTCATTTTCTTTCTCAGTAGAAAAAGATGCAAACGAACAGGACTCTCATGGAAAGGAACTAAATTCAATAGATAGGAAGTCCAAGCCTCGAGGTCAAAGTAGTATTGAGCATGTTATGCTTGATTTAGCCAAATTTATTGGTAAAGAGAAGATACCGTTGAAGGTTAGTTTGAAATTCTTGCATGGTAATATTGTAGTTGTTGGTCAGTTTACCAATTCTCAAGTGCCAAATTTTTTAGCCTTGCTTTGTTATGCCTTGACAATTTTTTGTCTGGGCTTTATGAAACTGTTATTTCAGGTACTTAAAGATTTGAGTGAGTTAATCAAGCTATCCATCAGCCAGGCACAAAACTATCAACCCCTTTCTGGATCCACGAGTTTCAATCGCATTGAAATACCCACTTCTTCGGATCCCCTAAATGGTATATTTTTTTTTAATGAGAAACACAAGAATATATATTCAAAAACACCCTTGAAAGAGTGGTGGGAAGAAACAGCCTAAGGGCGGAGGGTAGAGATAACCCTCCCCCAAGAAGAACTATACAATCACGGACTTCTAATCTTGTATAAGCTGAATTGGGTGCTTATTCCATTGGAGTATTAAGAAAATTTTACGTGGAGGCATAATTGAGAGTTCATTCTTTTTCAGGACTGTATATCGGTGCACATGGAGTATATACATCAGAAATTATTCATCTAAGACGCAGATTTGGTCGATGGCAAGAGGATGGAGGAGGGGATAAGGAGGAGCCTTCAAAGCTTGAATTTTATGAATATGTAGAAGCCTGGAAAGTTATTGGGGACCCATATGTACCAGCTGGCAAGGTAAATGCTCAGTTTTCACATTTTCCCAAAAGGAAAGCCATTTATTATGACTCCAAATATTTGTACCTGTACAGAAATTAGTTTACTTTGAGTTTCTCTTCAAAATCCCATCAAGTGGTATTGGTGTTCATGGTTTTCCAGGTGGCATTTCGTGCAAAGGTTGGAAAAAGATACCAGCTTCCTCATAAAGGGATAATTCCTGAAGAATTTGGAGTGGTAATTTTGATTCTTGACTTAATATTATATGACACCATCGTCCTTATCTGCGCGACTTCAATCCTCCTCTTCTTTCTTTCTATACTGAACAATCTCATGCCGTCTTGTTTCTTGTGTAGATTGCTAGATATAAAGGACAAGGGAGGCTAGCTGAGCCAGGTTTTCGCAATCCTCGATGGGTTGACGGTGAACTTGTTATTCTTGATGGAAAGGTTCGGACTTCTCTGTTCTTTTATCTTTGTGGTTGCTCAATCAAACCCTGATATATTTTTGGGTGATATTGTTCCATCTGTTATACTAGTACCTAGTTCTTGAGTCTAATCTCTGTCCTGCAGTATATCAAAGGAGGACCTGTGGTCGGATTTGTGTATTGGGCCCCCGAATTTCATTTCTTGGTGTTTTTTAACCGGCTGAGGCTCCAAGAGTAGATTTCATTTTATTTGTAAATTGAAATCTCAGGCTTGTCCATTCACTTGTGCCTTCCACCAATTCTTTAAGGGTAAGCTCATCATCCCTCTTATTTTAGATCATCTATGATGTTAAAAAGTTTTCATAGTTCAGGTACGTGTTCCTTAGCTGACCCAATAAGTTTTAAAATTTTTGGATATTTGATTGTTAGATAGTTCGATTCTTTGAGAATGGATCTTGTTGATTTTCTCTTTTCTTATATATATGAATCTTGCGCACATTGCCCGGGGGTGTTGGGGGTATTGATTGTTTGAAACATCATCTTGGTCAAGTAACTTTTAACCTTTGTCTGTTGGGTTTCCACTCTCTTTCTCATACATTTTTAACAAATAAGAAACCAGATTTCATTTAGGAAATGAAAATTCAAAAAAAAAAAGCACTAAAAGAATGCTCCAACGCCCATGCCACAAAAAGATTCTACAAAACATATAAACAGAAGAAATATAATTACAAAAAGGTCCCCAACAGTAGCAAAGGATAACTAGTAACTGCAAACTTGTTTTATGTTTTTAACAAGAAACAAACTTCTCATTGAATTAATGAAAAGGAATGACAATGTTCAAAGATACAAACTCTCGAAAGAGTGAAAATAAAAGAAAATTACAAGTAAATGGAAAAGAACAAGATAAGCTTAAGCATTAAGAGATAAGGTAAAAGCTCCCCAATTGAAACAAATAAGTGAGGGAGAAAAGTTTTTGAACAAAGGTGATAAAGAGCTCCACTGTGAGGATTTGAATTTAGCCAAACTGAAACGATCCAGAGGAGATTTGCGGCGATCCTTGAAAATTCTGAGAATTTGAATTTTTTATGTCAATAACCCAAATAGAATCTTCTATTCTAAGGCTTTTTTTTAATATAAAAATTATAAGAAACAAAAATTTCATTATCAATAGAGGAAGTACAAAAAGGGGATATGAGATCCCCACATCCAAAGGGGTTACCAAAAGGACTCCCAATTGACGCATGATCACAAAAAAAACTTTAGAAAGGAAAGAAGTCCCAAAAAACATCCCTATTAGTGTCCTCCATTGGAGTATTCTTTTGTTTCTTCAGACTACAGTCTCCATAATAGGGCTATCATCCTGTTGGACCAAAGTATTTTTGCTCAACCGCTGAATGAAGTCCCACTCAGGAGTTGAACGAAGGTATCTGAAGCACTATTGGGGAAACCGGCAGATTTTGAAGATTTTGAATAAATCATACCAACAAGTAGTCGCAAAAGGACAGGTGGAAAAATAGATGCAGCATGTTTTCTTCATTATCCTTGCATAGGACACACCAATTAGGGGAGATCGACACCATTGGCATTCTCTTTTGGATTCTACAGTATGTGTTCAGCCTCTCATACACAAATCTGTGCCTTCATCTTCTTAGGGATTTCAGATCACAAAATCATATTTACACGAGGAAGTAAGGTAGGCATTCTGAATAATCAGCTTGGGGATAAAAGATCTAATCATGAAGACTCCGTTCCTTTCAAATGGCCAAACTTTTGAATCTTCTCTGGGTATTCAGGGTAAAGGCAACTAAGGATGAAGATAATAATGTCCACTCATCCACCTCTGCATCAGAGAGATTCCTTCGAATTTTAGATCCCATGCCCTTTGAGTTTCAGACCAGCATTGGGTGATTACTCTTTTGAATTCACCGCTCTATACAATCTGAGATTAGCCATTTGAAGGGGAGTGTTCACAAGCCAAGGGTCTTTCCAAAAGAGAATTTTATCTCCCTTGCTTGCCACTAGTTTGTACCACTTTTCAGCCTTGGAACTGTATCTACATTGCTAACCTAAGGCCCTACAAATTTGACTGCGCTTTTCAGAGAAGACCACCATTCTTTATTGAAAAGCAGAACTTCTTTAGAATTAATTTGCAGAATTCATTTATGGAAGCAGGCAAACAATGGATTGCTTTTGAGAATTTCTTTCCCTTCGACTAATCAGTGGCCACTCTAATCCCTTAATAATGAATCTGCTAGGATGGGATGAAGCATATAAAGCAAGAAAAAAGATTAAAGGTCTCTCCCTAACTCTCGATCACCCCTAATGTAATTGCTGTCTTCTAACTCAATAACGGAATTCATATTTGTGCGTCTAGAACTAGCAGTCTTGTGGAAGAAAGAAGTGTTACAAAATCTTACTCCAAATTTAATTAAGCCTTCTGCCCTCTATTCAACTCCCTTTTGATCAAAAGTTCCTCCTTCCCAATCAAGTTCAAACTCTCCTTTAGTCTAGTTCGCTCACTCAGGGCACCTCTCATTTCCTGATTCCTCCACTCTTTCCAAAACGTTCACCTTATTCATAATGTCTCGTTCCTTGATTCTATGATCTCCAAAGATCCTCAGATTCCAATCTTTCAACTTTTGTTTGAGCCACCCCAGCCTCTTCATAAACCTAAAACTTGGACCAGCTACATACAACCATTAAAGGGAAAGAAGTCTTAAAAGACCGTTCATGCAACCACATATTTTCACTTTTTTGTTGCATCATCAGTCTCTTATACCAAAGCTGAAAAAGTGGAATAAGGTAGTGTTTGAGGACTTAAAAAACAGGAGATAATCTTTAGAATTAGTGCCTCCGGCAAGAGTCTATGAAAATTTTAAATGAGGAGTTGGTGGATGAAAGAATTGAACTTAAAGAAATTTTAAATGAGGAAGAGTTAGATTGGATGAAGGAATTTTTTTTTTTTGGATAAAGAAACGATTCATTCAACAAGGAGCCGAAATACAACCAAAGGGACAGGGGTCGAGAAGACCCCCTCCAAAAATGAACACCAACTAACAAAGCAAAGCTCTCCAGTCTTGTAGGATCATAGAGAGGCTGTAGTTACAAAAAAAAATTTGTATTTCTATGGCACCACCAAGAAGCTGTGATATGTACACTATTACAAAAAGAATCAAAAGATTTAGACTTATCTTCAAAAGGACGAAGATTCCTTTCCATCCAAATATTCAAAAGATTGGATGAAGGAATTAAAGTTAAAGGGGGACTTCGAGACTCATTTCAGTACTTGGAGACAAAAAGCCACGGGATTAAAAAACACCATTTCAGTACTTCTTACTTCCACATTATAGTTAATTCTAAGAGACTCAGGAATTGTATTTCGTCCCTTGAATTGGGGGATGGAAACATGGGAGCTTTGTCTCAAGAGATAAAGAGGTAAATATTTTGAAGTTTTTCACTGCGTTGTATGCTTTAGTCGTCACTTCTATCATGTTTGTGGAAGGATTTGATAGAACCCGAAAAACTCACAGTATATTGAAATATAAAAGATATAGAAATTACAATAGCTATCAAGTAATTCGAGGTACTTGGATCCTCCCTCTCTTGAGTATTCTTACTCAAGCCTAAGCCATACTACCAATTGCCTACCTTTATCCTTACCCCCTCATCTTATTTATAACTAGAATTCCCTAACCCAATTACTAATTTACCCTTAATACCCTAATAATATCTCCAACCTATCCTAATAGCAATCCTATCAAGATTGTACTGGCATCCCACTGATAGCGAAAAGTGAGAGTTAGACAACTCTTTACACTGGAGGAAATAAAAATTGTGGCATGTAGTTATGATGGGGCTAGGCTCTTGGCCCCGATGGATTTCTTTCAAAATTGTTTGGATTTGTTGAAAGATGATATGGTCTGCATGTTCAACGAATTCTTCGAGAGGTTTGATAAATGTTACTATGAATAGCCTTTCTTCCAAAATAAGCAGGAGCACACAATATTAGGGATTTCAGGCTCATTAGTCTAGTCACTAGCCTCTTTAAGATTATCTCTAAGACGTTGGCAGAAAGGATGAAAAAAGAAGTCAAATCAGGTTAAGAAGAAAGAAGGCATCATCTTTAAAATATACTTTGAGAAGGCTTACAGCTATATCAACTGGGAGTTTCTGGATAAGATCGTATGGGAAAAAGGTTCTGGTTCCATCTTGGAGATAGACTTCAAGAAGGCTTATGATCATGCGAATTGAGAGTCGAGTGGGGAATTGCCTTCAGTCTACTAGTTTCTCTATTTTAATCAACGGCAGATCAAGGGAGAGAGGCTATATCTCTAAATTTGGCAGGAACAGTAGATATCGTTATCCTCGGCAGTTTGTTGACAACACTTTTTTTTTTTGGTTCAGAGAGTAAAGGAGTCTTTTCAGGATCTTACTCAGATCCTACTCTTTTTTTGTAAGAAACATAGAAATATGTGTTAAGCCACAAAAAAGGGACAGCCCTTGGGCTGGGGTAGAGGGAACCCCTGCCTGAAGCTACTACACAAGAATGACTGTAATAATCATCAAAAGGCTGTGATTACAAAATAATTTTTTGTAGTTAGAACACCACCAAAATGCTATATGATGCACACTATTGCAAAATGAATAAAAAGAAGACTTATCTCGATTCTTGGATTTATTTCTTTCTAAAGAAGCCAAAAGAGTGGTTTAGCCGTGCAACTCCACAAAATCTTAGCTTTTCCTTTCATCTCCATCTCGAAAGAGCTTCTACCAGCCAATCATATACTCACCTTTCTTTCTTTCCAAAGAAGCCAGAAGAGCGATCCAGCTGCGCAACTCCACAAAATCTTAGCTTTCCCTTTCAATCTCCATCTCGAAAGAGCTTCTACTAGCCAGTCATATATTTTCCTCGGGAAGCAACCTGAGAGCCCAAGCCCTCTCATGATAAACACCCAACTATCATAAGCAGATGGGCAGTGGAGGAGGGTAGGGTTTATGCTTTCACTATCTTTGAGGCATAAACCGCAAATAGATGGAGACAGCATCCACTTAGGAAATTTTATTTGAATAATCTCATGAGTAATTAGGCTTATGAAGGCCAGAGACCACAGAAAAAACTTGACTCTTTTTGGGTACTTGACTTCCAAATAAGCTCTATCAACGGGGTCTTTAGGCTACATGTTCTTTTAGTTGATGTTGAGTCTTGAAGTAATAGGGAGAAATGTTCCTTTTCAAGTTATATTGTGACGAAGGTAAACTCAAGAGGTGGGCCAGTTGAGTGAGGTCATTTCTCTCCATTATCATATCTAGGCCAGCCTTTGGGTTGCAACCCTAGAGCACCTTGAACTTTTGACATTTGATGAACTATTCATGTTGGATTTTCTTTTCCAAACGGACAATACAAAAAAACAGCCCAAACCAAGAGGAGGCCAAACCAAAAACAAGAGCAAAACCCAAATAAAACTAAACAAAATGGCTCAAACTAACAAGAATAATAAACAGAGCATAATTACAAAACTCTGGTTCCAGACACCTAAAGAGGGTATCGAACCTTGTCATAGACCAAACCTCCTCCACGACATCTCTATCCCTAAAAATTCTCTTGTTTCTCTCCAGTTAAATGTTCCACAAAGCAACTAAAAAGGTAGTTCTCTTTATTTAAAAAGTGATGGCTTATTTTTGCGCTTCAGGCGTGGATCAGCTTTGTGGATGCATGTTACTTTGTTGGATGGAGGGTTTAAACTTGGAAAAATCATTTTCTATTTAGTGGCTCCCGCTTCCTTTCCTCTACCCCTGACGACTAATTTTCTCATTAACCTAAGTCAATTTGAATTCTGTTGCTGATTGGAGTTTTGATCTGAATTTACTAGATAGTTTTAATATGGAGTGTGTGAAAATATCTGCAGCAATCTGCTAATGACCATTTTCTTCCCAAATTTTCTACTGCAGTTATAACAGTTTTAGAGGATTTAAAGCCCTCGTTTAAAGATAAGCAGTGTAGCAAGCAAGACGAACCATTTATTACCCAACTGACTTATCACTCGTAAGAACACTGGTCTGACAAACTCGATCACCAAACCTTTGTCCACGCTAACGCCTGGTTCTGAAAATTTCTTCCTTTTTCTGGGAAATTCTTTATATGCTTGTATATATTAATCTGTTCCTTTGCTAAATCAATTCTCAACCATCAAGTTTTGATGTGATATATGAACAGTGCTGTAGTTTAATGCCCATTGTTTTAGATCTCGTTGCGTTGTACTAGATGAAGATATCATGTATAAGACGGTTTTCTGGAGGTTACTTGAGGAATCATATATGGCTGTAGTTCAGTTTGGAGTCCGGAACAAGAACCATTAGACTCATCTGTTCATATCATAGCAAGCGTAGCATTATTATGAATTATGTTCTCTCTAATGTAATCTCCTCTCATGGTTTGTACTCATCTCTGGCTCTGGCTAATGCTTGTTTGTTTACGCTTAGTTTCTAGGCATTCTGGTTAATTCTATAGAGATGTATAATTTTCTTGATGTTTCTAGTCAAAATTAATGGATTAGAAATCCAATTTGTCTATGAACTTTCTGGATGGTCTCATTTTTGTCTCGAAACTTTGGGTATATTTTAGTTCCTAAATTTTTCTAAAGAGCCAATTTGGTTCGACATTATTTTGCCATTAGATAACTTGATTTTAAATGTGTATTAATTTGTTGATGTTCGTGTATTTGGAATAATATAAATTAGCTAAGTTGGGTACTGGGTGGATGAACATAAGAGGTAGAATAAATAATAGCAAAACTAAAATGATAAATTTTTTAAAATATAAAATATTTTGAAGTTTTAAGACCAAAATAGTCATTTTTTCAGTTTGGAGATTTGAATGGGGAGATTGAAAATGAAATAAATCTGAAATTTGAAGGATCATACAACTGCGATTGCTTGAGATTATTAAGGATTCTTAAGATTGAATTCCATTTTGATTTTTCAATTTTTGTATTTATTTTTTTGAGTTAAAAAAGGCTTTTATTAAATAAATTAACTTGCCATAAAGGTTACAGGAGTGAGACCATCAGCTTTCACACGGCTAAGAAACCAAATAACCAAATAGGAAAATCATAAAGCCAAAGAAGGGCCTATTTATAGAAATAGCATTTCCAGCCGGAATATGAGTGGTCCTATTTCCCTCACGACCATTTAACCACCCCTAATCCTTCTCTATCAGTTTAACGAGGAGGTTAGATTCGATCACCACCTTACTGAAATCCATCCAGGGAAGAAATTATCGTCGCTTGTATCCGATTTTCATCATCACGGATTAAAATCTCTATTCCGGACTTTCCAACGGAGGTGGTACACGCTGCATAAGTAATGATTTTTAAGAACCCCTTTGGAGAGGGACACCCGACGACGGGATTGTAGGAGGGGGAGTGGGGAGTGAGGAGTGAGGAATCAAATTCATAATTTTTTTTTATTGGAGGTATGTGATATTATTGCTGAGCTATGCTTATTTTGGTGAATTAAGTTTTTTTATTTTATTTTATTTTATTTATGTGATTCCAACATTTTTAACGGAATAGTTTTTTCTTTTATTTATTTTTTATTTAATAAACTTCATGGAAGAACCGTAAAAATGGGCACCATATCTTATTTGTCATTATTTGATATTTAATGAAATAAAAATAAGCAACTACGTAGATATGATTTAATAGATAATTCTAAAAAACATATAAAAATAATAAAACAACTATTAGCACCATTTAAATTTTACAAATGCATTAATATCACTTACTATGAGATCTTGGATTTAAGCTTTGTACTGGTTACTATATTGCTCAACTCAAACAGCAAATTTCTATCATAAGAATTCAAGCTACATGACATCGATTTTAAGAAATAATTAAAAAATGAAAAAAAAAGGAGAGAGAGGAGGAGGGAAGTGAATTGAGAATGTTGCTTCCAAAATTTGGTCGAGCTAGACTAGGATGCTCTTACCTTAGGGATTAACATTTGTATTACTCGTCCTAACACCTTCCGATGACTAATTCATTATTTGGATCAGAGTAAAATGAGGAGAGAAATAACATACCTCGTGGAAGGGTTTTAGTTATCGTTTTAGGGGTATCTTCTCATATCTGGGTCGTACCATCGACAAGTCTATGGTTAGAGGGTCTCGAAGATTGTTGGATGGCAGAATCACGATCCGTGTTTGGTTATGGGATCGTTTGCCTGAGGTTATGACCTGAGCTATCTCTCAGGCTTATCTATGAGTGGGTGGGGCCCACAGGCCACGTGGCTTTCTATGGTGATGGTAGGATTTTACTCCTAACAAAGAATACTGGCAAACTAGGAACTGTGCATTAATGTATTGTTTGCTGAACATTCTCGCACGCCATTAGATTATTTCATATATTAGATATTTAACCTCCTTGAATAAGAGGGAGGGATTGAGACCATGCTCTAATTATATCATTATATAATTAATTATACTACAGGTTATAATTTGTAAGAGAAAAATAGAGAAATGACACATAATTGATGTTGACACAGATAATAAATAACAATATATTTTTATTCCTCAATTTTACACGAAGATACTAGTTAAATAACAATATATTTTTATTCTCTACACGAAGAGACTAGATAAATAACATAGATAACTACCATCATTGTCCTTTGGTGGCAACTTAACTAATTAATTTAAGTTAAAAACATACTCGATTGCTAAAATAGATGAACATCATCTTCCATTTATTTATTTCATTATAACTCTTTCCTCTAAAGATAGTGGACTACTCAAACAAGGTGGATTGATGTGTTGGCTTCTTCAGCGGTTCCTATCGATATTTTGTTGGCAATGATGGCCCCCCTTTCCTTCGCCATGTATAGGCCTATATGGTGCATCAACTCCTGCCATAAAACAACAATTCAAATCGTTAGGGTTATATAGTCTGTTCCAGTTCTCTTACGAAACTTTTGTTATCAACCAAAAACTAAGTTCAACCAGTGAAATATAGAAAAGTGAATGCTTAAATTCGGGAAGCTTCTAGTTCAGTTGTGGGACCGCAACATTCACTTTCTTTCTCTTTTACCTAACTTATTTTCTTTTTACACATGTTTTTTCTCATCAACCTCCCCAAGTTCACACCCTTTCTTTTTTTTTCCCCTCATATATATCACTTTTTAACCATAATAATAATTCCCAAAAGAGAGAGAGAGAGAGAGAGAGAGAGAGAGAGAGAGAGAGAGAAGAAAAAGGAAAATGTTACCTGAGGATGGGCGAGAGCTGCCTTGGTGCTTGTAGCAACATGGAGAGGGACGTCAAAGGTAGCACAGGCCTGAGAGTACAGAACGACGTCGTTCAAAGGGCTCAGAAACCCTAGATTCCTCGCCGACATCGTCGAGCACACAAAGTCCAGCACGCAGATGTCCGTACAAATCCCGACTACCAAAAGCTTCATCATCCAGAAACCAAAACACATTTTCAAAACAAAAAATCATTCAGATTAAAAAAAGTAAAAAAGAAGAAATTATTACAGATCTGATGCGGTTGTTCTTGATCCAGTCGACGAACACGTTGGAACCATCGGGCTGGAAGGAGCCGAGGTAGCCGTCGAAGCAGTCCTTGCGCCTCATCGTCACGTTCGCCTCCTTCTCCAGCCATTCCAGAGCTGTAAAAAAATAAAAATTAAAAAAAAAAATACTAAATTATTTATTGGTTGGAATAAAAATTGCACCAGCCGGGAATCGAACCCGGGTCTGTACCGTGGCAGGGTACTATTCTACCACTAGACCACTGGTGCTTTTGTTCGTTCTCTTACTAATTTTAAAATTGGTACGTTTTGTGTTAGAATAACTTGTTTTTACAAACCCGATTTTATATCAAGAAATTACGAAAGTATTATTTTTCTAAAACTAATTCTAATAATATTTTAGTTTTGAAATCATTAAATAACCTGGTGAAACCGTCTCTTCAAATAATGATTTTTTTAGTACAACATGTAGGGAAGTGGATTCAAACTCACAACCTCTTGATTGTGTTAAGGATCCTATACTTATATGATAAGGAACTTAATTAGGGTTTATAATAGACATGTGCTACTCCTTATTAATTGGTTTGATGGAACCCATGAATATTAATAGGTTGGAGATATATGTCGCTCGCTATGCTTTGCCATGACGGAGTTGGATACATAAATTTTGTCCAACATAATCCCACTTCCCATATTAGGTTTACTAATTTCATAGACTATATGAACCTATATAAACTTAATCTTAAGCTTATAAATTTACTATCTAGACTTCGTACTTGCATTTTCAAATAATAGACCCACGAACTAAATACACAAATCATACAAAATTAAGTTTCTTTTAACCCACTTATAAAAGCCACGAGCCAAATATCTCCTTCATGTCAATATCAATGCACCAAAAAGGCTGCAAAATTTTGTGGCCATTTACTCTGTTCTTTATGCAATTGGGAGCAAGAAAATCTGTGTGGTTTCATTAGGAGAGAGATAAGAGGGAGAAAGACTTGCCTGGAACCAAGTTGGATTCATGAGAACCAGAAATACAGTGGGGAGGATATGGCTCCTCAGGCTTGTTTGGTTGGTGAGAATCAAGAAATGCCAATATAGGCCATTTCTTCTCACAGAAAGCTCTCGCAATCCTTGCTGATTCTTCTACCATTCCAGAAATCTGCCTGTTTGGCTCTCTTGGTGCCTGAAAACAAACAAACAAAAAACCATCTCAAACTTCTAATTCTCAGTTTTATTTGCACAAAAACCACTAGTGTGGGATGTTGAAAATTGGAAATGCGACCATAAGTTTCACGTTGGTTCGATAAGTAGAAGAGCATAGGTATACAAGTGAGGAAGAACAAAGTTATGTGAGAGAGAATATCTTTATTGATAGGAGACGTTTTAGATGAAACCAAAAGCAAAGTCACGAGGGCAAAAATGTGGAGGGTCCAAAGATTCAAATATAGTCCTATGTTGGTAAGAAGTGAAAGTATTTCGCGACAAAATAATGACAACAATTCTATTGATCCGAGGCTTTTGGATAGAACCTAAAGTACTCAAGTCTAAAATGGATAATATCATACCAAATTGTATAAATGTGGTGAAGTCCCCTACGAGCTTCGGACAAGGCACAACATACAGAATCAAACAGATAGTTTCAGTTTCTTAGAAGTTTTGACAGAATGAACACTAATTACACTAACCAATCATCATTGACACGATGAGGCATCGGATGAAAGTGAAACAAATGAGTAAGCCAATCAAATAAAATAAGGGCAAACAAGCCAAAATCGAAAGATTTGAGGAAACTTGAGGAACGCAGAAGCATAGCAGCAAATAGATAAGATCAAAAGAAGCAAGAACGCCCAGAAACTTGCCAAACTTTTCAGACTAAGTCGCAGAAGCATTTTATCAAACAGGTCGTGTGCAAAAAAATAAACAAATAAAAACAGAGTACAAAAGTCCTACCAGATTTCCAGCGCCAACAGTGCAGAAGCCATTGATGATATCAACAAGAACAAGGCCATTCACAGCATCTTCGGCCAAAACCACAGACTCCTGCTCCAGCGGGATCTCCTTCTTCAAGAGATCGATGGCGCTCGAAACCATTTCTTAGAAAAAAAAATCGGAGAGAAGATGAAGATAGAGAGAGTTCACCGATCAATTATTGTCCCGATGCAGTTGGAAATTTATGCGATTGGGTCAGTTCAACAAGTCAAAAAGAAGATATCTTTGAAATTTCGAATACTATTTTTGTCTTCTTCACTTCACTATTGGGTTTATGTGTGTAGCAAAACGGAGGAAATTTCTTTGCTGACAGTGGCGAGGCTACAATCAGTCAAAAATAATATCTTTGCATTCATAAGAAATTTGATATGTTTTAAATATAAATAAAGTAATACTAAAAAGTATACTTATATAAATAGAGATTACAAACATACACGTGTAGGGCGTAGTGTACGTGTGTGTATATCTGTACGTATACAGTGGCTCAATAACAAATGATTGGATAACGTAATAGTATGGACACTCACCCTCGAGGAGACGAGGACGACGTCTCAATGCTAGTGCAGAATTTTTTTAGTACAATATATTGAGATGGTACTTCGAATCCACGATATTTTAGTCGGAGATAAGTGTCTTAACTAATTGAGTTAAGTTCAAGATGACATGTAATTTTATAAGTTAGTTTCTATCTATTGTTCTATAACAGCTTCATCATCGGGTCCAAGGCCTAAAGGTCGGTCAAAGTCCAGCCCAAGCCCAATCCAAACTCAATCCTTTGACTGGCCCGACCCAATCCAATCCTTCTATTAATTGGATTAGATATGGATATTCATTTTTTAATTTGGGCCAACCCGTTTGAGCCGTATTTGGATTGGCCCGTAGGGCCGGCCCAAAAACCCGATCCAATATTTATTAATATTTATATCATATAATATTAATATATTCTTTTATTATTTATTTATTATAAAAAAAATTAGATACCTTATGGTAGGATCTTTTGTTTCCCCTCTTAAATAGGTACAAGAGACTCTACCACTCTCCAATATCTCATTTTAAATATATCTAATATTTAGGTTGTAATTTTTAAAATTTTTTAATATAAAATTTTCTTATAAATATCAATCTTCTTTTCTTTTTCTTCACTCAAATTCTAATTCTAATTCTCAATCTTAAATCCTCTCAAGTTTCAAAGTGTTTAAATTTTCAATTTCTCTGGTAAAAAGCTATAAATTTAATTTTAAAAATAAAAATATAATTTTTAAAAATAAGGCAACTTAAATTTATAAAATATGATACAATAAAATTTATTAGTAAGATTATAAAAATAACAAAAAATGTACCAAAAATTATATAAAAACACATATTGTAGAATTTAAAAATAAAAAACTTAATTTGGAAATTATTTAAATTTTAAATTTTAATAATTAAAAATAAATTAATATACGGGTCGATCCAAAGGGCCGATCCAAGCCCGATCCAACTCCGACTTATCAACTTAGGCCCATGGATTGGGCTATGAGCCTAGGTTTGAGTGGTCGGGCCGAGCCAAGCTTGGCCCAAACAATACTTGAGGCCCGTAAGGCTTGGGCCTCGACCAAGCTTGGGCCATTACTTCTTTGGGCTGGCCGGCCCAGCCCAAAGATGAGGCTGGTGAGTTCTATTTGAACTTTGTTTATATATATATATAAATTAAAGTATTTATTTTATTTTAAAAAAATGCAAATGCCACACGTCAACAAATACCATTTAAGACTTCAAAGGCCCACGTTAGCATTTATACTAACATGTTTAACTCTATGAACCATTTAGAATCATTTACTAAAGGTTGAGGACTAGATTTCACTTTTTAAAACCTATGGATTAAATTAAAATCTATGGGAAAACAAAATTTGAACGAGATAACCACGAATGTTAAGGGAAGATTGGTTTCATTGAAAATAATAATTATATTTTAAAAAAGAATGGTGGGACCATGACTTATTGGTCAAGAGATGTGTCAATTACGAACTAAATTAGGTTGGCGAGAGTTCATTGTTAAAATATATATATATATATATATATATATTAATTATCAAGTGAGAATTTAAGTAATTTTTCTTTCCTTCTTAATATGATAATTTAAATGAGGGGGTTATTGAACCGTTTTTCTTGTATCGAAGTCAAAAGAGACAGACGTTAGTTTTTCTTAATAAAAGAGAAATTAAATAGTGTTTGGTTGGAAATCTAAATTTTGTTTAAAGTATTCAAGTTCACTCAATCAAATGAAGTGAGTGAATATGTTCTTGACATTTGACATATTTGTTTTTTAGAACTGTTTTAATTATTACATCTTTTACGTTTTCAGTGTTTTTAGATTTGAAATTTTAAATTTTAAGATAACTTTGGTAAATATATATATATTTTTTGTTATAAATTAATTTTATTTTTTTGGTTAAAAGTAAAAAATGTAAAATATAATATATTATAAATAGTAAAATAATAATTATATAAAATTTATAACAAAAAATATTAATAAATTAATTAATATTATTTTAAATTAAACTAAATATTTGGTGGTAATTATTGATAGTTTAAACTTATATTGAAACTAAACACATATGAAAATATTGAAAACAAACGTACCATTCATTGAATCATTTATTTTTAGATATATGTTTTCTGATTATTAATCAAACAAACTAAGTATTTGTTTCTCAATATCTATTCCAATTATCTCAGCTAATAATATCAACAATCTCATGATACCAAAAATATTACCATTTCACCCTGCTCAAATTTACCGAACCTTCCATCCAAGGTTTTAAATGTCAATATCTCAATTTTATGGAAATATCGATAAAATGTCAATGTCAATGAATATTTTTGTAAAAGTTATAGAAATTAAAAAATCGTAAAAAATATTTAAATTAATAAATAAATATTTTCATATTTCTAAATAAATTAAAAAATAATTAACATTAATATTATGTATATATTAGTGACATTTTATTGATATGATATTTTTTATATTATGTCAATTTTTATTTTTGTATTAAAATGAAAATGTCAATTTATCCATTGTGCGGACGTGGAACCCAAATCATCATTTCATCCAACCAAAAAAAGAAAAAAAAACAGTTATTTTATAGGAAAAAGGGGCGGCGTTACCTACCACCACTGGTCCACTACCGGTAGCAGCCAATTTGACTTTGCCCAACTTGTTCCGAAGCGACCAACCGCAATCCCGAGTCCCATCGTCATTCCTCATCCTTCTTTTTCTTCCATGAATTCCCAATCCATCCATCCATCCATCACTATGATTCCATGTCCATCAATTTCCCTCAAATCTCAGAATCAATCCGCATAATACTATGCAATCCACCATCACTCCCCCTTTCAATCCCGCCGTTTCTTTTCCGCCAAATCTCCCTCGTTTCGCGCCAATAATCCGCCATTTTTGCCCACCGACCAAGCTTCGGATGTCGATTACTACGGCTTCTTCGCCGCCTGGGCTCGTTGTCGGGTCGCAAACCGGCGCCGCCACTTTGACGGATTTTGTGGGGAAAGGAGGGATTGGTGTGGGAGATGACTTGGTCGTGCTGTTGACTCATATTCAGTATGCTTGCAAGAGAATTGCGGCTCTCGTCGCTTCTCCGTTCAGTGCCGATCTTGGGAAGCCGGCGGGTTTGGCTGCCGACGGAGGTGCCGTTGCTGGCTCGGAGAGGGATGCACCCAAGCCGCTCGACATTGTGTCTGTAAGAAATTTTCCACTGATTTTGGATATTGATTGATCTGGGAATCTCTTTGCCTCCGTCATTAGTCGATGAATTTTGAATGCATTTGTTTTCTGAATCTAATTAATCTCATGGTTGACTTTCAGTTTTCTGCATCCAGATTGTTCTGATTAATGTTAGCGACTAGAAAACAATGGATGTTTCAGTTTCAACTATATGAGAATGAGATCAAGTTCAGGTTGAGCAATTAGCAGCCTCTTTTTTATGTTAGGCTAAAATATATATTAGTCAAATTACGAGTTTAGTTTCTGAAGTTTTGCGTCTACGAAGTTTCTAAACTTTAAATCGTGTAATAGGTCTCTAGAGTCTAGTAGACTTTCAAAATTTTGTATTTAATAGGTCTCTTAACTTTAAAAGTGTCTGATAGTCAGGATCGACTAATTAGAATAATGATCTAAATTATATGTCTAATAGACCTATAAATTTAAAAAAATGTTTATCAGTTCAAAGACTTATTAGAAACAAAATTGAAAGTTTAGATACTTATTAGACACTTGTTAAAATTTAGGAAAGACACGTCACTAAAAGTTAAAAAGGGGATTAAACATATAATTTAACCAAATAAATTTGGTCCTTCAACATTCACTCCTTTTTCATTATTACGGTGGTTCTAGTTTTAAATGGACATTTGGCTGAAGTTTTATGATGTATGGGATTAAGAAGTTTGGGTTTATTATAGTTTTTAAATAATTGACAAGTTTAAGGGCATCATCAAAACATGTATAACTTCCAAGCCTAAATTGCAGACAGGCATATGATATAATTCAAGAGGCAAAAAGGAATATTACAGTCAAAACATTTGTCTGGAAAATTTTAATTTTATTAGTGAAGCGCCATTCCACAGTAATATTACCTACCAAAATGCTAGTATTGTGTCTTGGTTTCTTTGCAAATATATTATGAAGAGAAAAAGTAAATTCTGGGAAACAATCTTTCTCATCCACAGAATGAAATCATCTTATCGTCTCTTAGAAATTCTGGAAAAGTTGCTGTGATGGCTTCAGAAGAAGATGATGAACCAATTTGGATTAGGGACGATGGCCCATTTGTGGTGGTGACAGATCCTCTTGATGGCTCTCGAAATATTGATGCATCGATACCTACCGGCACAATTTTCGGGGTTTATAAACGTCTTGTTGAACTCGATAATTTACCGAGAGAAGAGAAGGCCGTGCTTAATTCTCTACAGAGTGGGGCTAAGCTTTTGGCAGCTGGATATGTTCTCTACTCATCAGCCACAATACTCTGTGCCAGTTTTGGTTCTGGAACACATGCCTTTACACTGGACCATTCAACAGGAGACTTCATTCTTACTCATCCACATATCAAAATTCCTCCTCGAGGTAACATTTCGGGTTCCATGGTTTCAAGATATAACGTGAGATTGATATGATCTGCCCGTATAGTTCAGCAGCATTGAAATAGGGAAAATTAGAATGACTTTATGTTGGCATTTCCTTGTATTATATACCTTTTCCCATATGACCCAATTGTCTTCTTTTAGTCTGCAAATGGTTCTAGGCATAACCCCCTTTGATCCATTTTAAGCTACGTCCCTATAGACCTAAGTTCATGTTATGAATATTAAGAGGGCATATTACTCATTAGCTAAGGAGATTGATGATGGGATGACTATAAATCAAGTAGATTGGAGCGGTTTTAGACGAGCAGACTTTGGAGAGTAGTTTTGAGAGAGTATCAGAAACTTGTGTTCCTTTTGTCTACTTTGGTTCAAATCTGTTGATCTTGTTTGGAGATTGTTTTATAAACATATCAAGAGACAGGGTAAGGATCTTTAGGACCTTATTTCACTTGCTTTCTTATTGTTCAGGTCAAATATATTCTGTAAACGATGCGAGATATTTTGATTGGCCGGAGGGATTGCAGCGATATATCGACACAATCAGACAGGGGAAAGGCAAAAATCCTAAGAAGTACTCCGCCCGTTACATATGTTCCTTGGTTGCTGACCTCCATCGAACTTTATTGTACGGTGGGGTGGCAATGAATCCGAGGGACCATCTTCGTTTAGTGTACGAGGCAAATCCTCTTAGCCTCCTTGTCGAGCAAGCAGGAGGCCGAGGTTCGGATGGTAAGAACCGAATTCTTTCAATGCAGCCAGTTAGGCTGCATCAAAGGCTGCCTTTGTTCATGGGAAGTTTGGAGGACATGGAGGAGCTCGAAAGCTATGGAGATGTACAGCAGAAAGTGAATCCCGGTTATGAAGTTTGAAGATGTGATCAATGGACAAAGAAAGCTCCAAGAAAATGTATGAATCAACCTTCAAAAAGGTCAGTCTCTAGATTTTGTGTATTTTTTTTTTCTTTGCACATATTTTCCAGTGGCTTGGCATGCTTTTCTGGAAGGGGTAGATAAAGTGTAGAGTAATAAGTAATAACAGTAAATTCTGACAGCATGTGAATCATAGTTATTTGCAATCTGAATACTGATGCTCTTTTACTGGTAAAACAAAATTTAGAGCTTTTATGAAGATCCTAACAGTCCATATTTGAAACTCATATATAGGTTTCTCTGTGTTCATTGATCATACAAATTGACACTAATGTGGTTTGATAATGTTGTTGTTTTGTATTCTTTTTCGTTTTTAGTTTTATGTTTTTCAAATTATTATTATTATTATTTTCAAAATTTGACTTAGATTGTTTATAAAAACTACATAGTAATATTTCTAAACTAATAATATTTCTAAAGTTTAAATTTTAAAAAACTGTAAACAAAAAATGGAGAGGCTGTTTGATGACCATTTAGTTTTCTTTTTTCATTTTTGGTTTCTAAAAAAGATTCTATTTTTCAAAATCCCATTTTTTCTCATAATGTTTTTGTTTTTATTTTTCTTCTTCTTCTTTTGACACTCCCTAACAAATCTCTTTCCCACTATGAAGCATTGACATTAGTTGATTAGGTTAAAACATTATTTTACAATTATATGAACCCTTATTTCTTTAACTCTAAATCATTATTACTATTATATAATATAATATCATGCTGAATATATAATTAAATTGGTTTGCAAAATCCTAACACAAATTTTATACACAATCCTCATCCTCAAGAACTGTTCTTGAGGTGGAAAATGAACTCAATAAAAAAAAAGATGAAAAATTCTTTAATCCAGAGCTATGACAATATTTCTATAAATTTATTGAGTCTACTGTTGGGTTGAAACCGTGATCGAAAAAAATATAAGTTTTTTTTGCCTAAATTTCTCTCTCTTAAATTTTCATCCCGAATGTTTACGATTAGTTCTCTTTCCAAAATTTTCATCTTTATATATATATTTTTTATTTTCTTTTGTTCTAACACATCACTCTCATTTTTTTCGATCTTTAAACACTTAATAGTTTCTTGGAACTACTCTCTCTTTCAAATTTTGCATTTTTTTTTAATAAAAGAAAGCAAAATTAAAGAAAGGTAAAGTCTCCAATTTCACTTTTTATATAACTTTTCTCTCTTTCTAATATATTTTTCACACTATCCATATTCAAACTTCTCTCCCTCTAAATTTGTTCTCTTTCAATTTACTATGATTTATATTTATTTTTTCTAACAAATATATTTCAAACTTTTTTTTGTCTAAATTTTTCTCACTATATTTTTCTTTCTTTCTATTGGACTTTACTCTCTCTAAACTTTTTTTTTTGTCTTTTTTATCTCTTAAAATTCTCTCTCCAAAGTTTCTCTTTAAAAAGTTTCTTTTCTATCTCTTTAAACTTTTATTTTCACGTCTCCACGTTAAAGATGACATAAATTCCAGTAAGGTTGGGTCCGTCTCCACGTTAAAGATGACATAAATTCCAGTAAGGTTGGGTCCGTCCTACTCGAATAGGGAATATATTTCCCACCCTGCCACAACCTCGTCCTTAATTCTATTTTTTAAATAACTAATACATATTTTATTAACGGTTTTACTAAATTATGAATAAAATATAAAATATTTTTTTAAACTAATTATTTATACTGATAAATTAGAAATTTTCAGTAAAATATATATATTATTCTTTTTATTCTTTAAAATTTAAAATTAATTACTAAACCGGTAATTTTCCCGTGGGAGATCTCTGTCCACAAATGAGGACTTCCTCAACATGGACCTCGATTCTCGAAATTGGAGAACGGGGTTGAGACAATAATTAAAAATTTACACGAGCACGAGGATAAGAGATGACATCCAAAACTCCTGCCACACATCGTTTTCATCTCTACGTTACATAGATTTTTTATTCTCTAACATATCTCTTCAACTTCCTAACTTTTTAAAAACAAAAAATAATAATGGTGATCAAACATGTTGGATTTTTTGTTTTTAAAAAACGAAAAACAAAATATAGTTATGAAGCATATATGGCTTTTGTTTTTTCGAAACAAAAAACTAAAAGTAGAAAATAAAAAAACTAAAAACTAAAAACTAAAATCTTTTCAAGTAATAGTTTTTGATTCTAACCACCTTGGGGTTGACGTGTGATTGATAAGGGCCCATGTAAATAATAAAAAGACTGACGGTAAAAAGACTGACTTAGAGATAATGTTTGGATGAGGTGTTTTGAAAATTTATTTTCACAAATGTTTAATATTTACAAATTTAACATTTTTATATTTCTGAATTTAAAACTTTTTCCAAATGTGAAATTTACCCTTATTTATGACATTTATATTTATTATAATTAGTTTTTTTTTAAATTTAAATGTAAAAGATTTAATATTCCAAATTTGATTTTCCTAACATTTAAATCATTGTAGCCCCAAATCAATTATTCTCATAATCCCTTAATTTACTCTTCAATATATTCTAACCAAAGAATGAAATTTATTACAAAATATTTTTTCATTTCATTCCAATTGTATACATTAATATAATAGACAAGCCAAAAACACATACATGTTAACAGAAGCGGTGGAGTACAGCACCCTAGATGACGAGAGTCCAGTAGTCGAAAGCATGACTAGCTTACGCTCTGACCCAAGTAGCATGGGGCACGTGGAATCTCGTGTGAATCACCAAGACCACCTTGCAAGGCTAAATACTTCTGGGTGATCGATAGTGAAGTAGTACCGTGAGGAAATGGTGAAAAGAACCCCCATGAGGAAGTAAAATAGAACATGAAACCGTAAGCTTCCAAGCAACGGGAGGAGACCAGGACTCTGATTGTGTGCCTGTTGAAGAATGAGTCGGCTACACAACATAAAAGTAAATCATTATAACAACAACATAAACTTTATATCCGGCTACCATTCTAACATAAACTTATATGGAGATATAAACTATATTTGGCTATAACTATAAGTGTTGACTATAGTATTAAGAATCGGTTCACCAAATTCAAGCTCAGATAAACTTATATATGAGCTATAAAATATATACGACTATATCCCACTATAATTAACAAACAAAGCAAATAAACTACATAGTTAAATAACACACTAACATATGCTAAAAAAAATCCATAGACTAGGATAATCCCCCATATTGAAAAGATGTTCTTAACAATACCCCAGACTCGAACACCCAAAATCGAAAATCAGAAGCAAACCTAAAAGTTTTAAAAATTAAACGGTAGAAAACAGGCTACCAAACAATTGTGAAAAGCGAGCAAATCGAAAAGGGGCTGCTTGCTTTAGACGATAATGACAGAAAACGAAGAAGACGAGGAGACGGCTTGCCAGAAACAATAGTGAAAAGCCAGACGGGCTGCTGCCGACGAGGGAACGGATAAAATGGAGGAAAAAATTGTTTTTTTTTATGAAGAAGACGAAGAACCAGCAGAACCGGCGACTGGTAGTTGTTTTCGGATGAAAAGATGAAGAGATTTGGGTATTTTTTACTTTAGGGAAGTGAAAAGTTGCATAAAATTAGAGATTTAAAATTTAACTTCCCAAATCAACCATTCCACCATTCCGAATTTCCATAATTTAATTATATTTAAATGTATATAAAAAAATATATTGGTAAATCGTTGATGAATTTCATTTAAAGGGTTTATTTTAAGAAAAAAAATGTAAATTTTGTAGAATGAATCTATTTATGAAATTATAATCTCTAAAAAACCTATCAATGTACTAATCGCGAATACTTATTATTTTCAGTTAAATTATAGATCTATGACTTATGAGACATTTTTTTTTTAAATTGAGAACCTATTAAACACAAACTTGAAAGTTCGTAGATTTGTTAGATGTTTTATTTTTTATTTTTTAAAGTTTAGTCTCAAAGACCCCAAATTTATAATTTAACCATTATTTCATAATTTCTTACCTAATAAACTAGTAAACAAAAGATGAAAAATAAGTGAGAGACAATAAGCACAAACGGCTGCGAGTCTATGACATTGGACTTGCAATTCCAATGGCTTAGCCATTGGAATTTTCGCATCCTTCAATTTTTTTCTCAAGCAATCTTTTTTTATAATTCAGGAGTCGACGGTCCTCTGATCTCCAACTCCTATAATAGTTCAACTTAAAAAAAAAAAGCCTAATATGAAGTTACTACTTGGTAAACAGATCCAGCATTAGTAGTTTTTAATTAATAATTAAAATTGTGTAGTTTTTTAGTATTAAATTAAAATTGTAATTTATAGAATTAATAATTAAAATCCGTAGATGGACATTATTTTAAAACATAAATAAATATAATATTCATATGAGTCAAGAAACTTATCCTTCTTTCAATTGAAAAGTAAAATGATAACAAAATTTTCAATATAATCATAATCATAATTCAACAATAAAAAGTAAAGTAAAATGATAACAAAATTTTCAATGTAATCATAATCATAATTCAACAATAAAGAGATATATTCGAATTGAAAGTTCAAATTCTCACGACCTAAATTAATCTAAAAGATTTTTAATGAAAAGAATTAGAATGGTTGGAAAATTAACTTTATACACCATCAGGTTGAAAAACGAGAGGAACATTAAAAAAATCTCTCTCTTTTTATGGAATTAAAAATTGCAACTTTGTACTTCATCCCCAATATTTTGGAAAATTTTAACTTCAAAAATTACCCCTTTTATTTATTTACTCATTAATATTTGGAAAATTCCATTATTAGGTAAAAAATTTATCCACTCCTAAATTCCCAATTTAATTTGTAAATCGGAAAAAATAAATAAAAGATAGAAGGCGAATCCAGTGTAATGCGCGCAGCGGCTCTACCGTGCGCCTTCGAGTCTTCTCTTTCGGGTAATCAATCTTCCACCCAAAAACCCTATTTTTCCGTCTTCTCTCTGCTCCACTCTTTCTGTAACAGTCGCAGAAAACCCGAAAAGTTTATTCGATTTTCAGTTGAGATTGTTCTTCCAAATTTATTTGTAATTATTGTAGACTTGTAGTCAGTTTCTGGAGAGAGAATTTGGCGTGCGTTCTTCATAAGCAGAGGGATTGAGAGAGTGATGGGAAGTAACTTTCCCTCTCTTTCAGTGAAGCGAGCGGCGGCGGCGCGCACTGGAATGGCCGATACATACGCGGGTATGGCGAATGGGTCCTCGAAGTCGAAGAGGTCCAAGAAACCTCCGCCACTCATCATTCCTCCAGGCCATATTGCTTTTCGAATGCTCTGCCACGCTTCGCGAATTGGTGGGGTGATTGGGAAGTCGGGTTTTGTGATAAAGCAACTTCAGCTGTCTACCGGAGCGAAGATCCGTGTTGAGGAAGCTCCGAGCGAATCGCCGGACCGGGTTGTTACTGTGATTGGGCCGCCCGCGCTTACCTCCAGGGTGTTGCTGGATCAAAAACATGGCGATTCTGGGGTCAGTGGGGAAGAAGTCGAGGCGTCCAAGGCT